CCCCCCCCCCCCTACCTAAAATCAAGACTATGATTGAGATTCCGCCGCCATAAACAGTGGTCTAACGAGTTTACAGCGTCCATCCAGCACTCCGTCCGCGCTTGAGTAGACTACTATATGCGTTCGCCGTTTTCGCAAATGGCAAACTAGTCGTCGCCAACGTGGGCGGATACCACGGGCAAGTCGCCACCTTCCACCCCGCCAACGGCAATTGTACTGCCCAGCAAGATGTCAAATAGAGACGGCGACGTGTTCCTTCTGTGTCACAGCAAAAAGCCAACAAGTTTACTTGCACACGACCTACTGCTGTACAGCAGCAGTCACGAGGGCTTCACCCTATCACGGCTTTGCCCTCCAAGTATCTATGCATCGCCGGGGGGAGTTTCTGCCATGATATTTCTTCCACTGCTGCTGCAGGCGATGTTGTTCCGGCGAGCGTCACGGCTTTCGTTTTCTTCCATGTAGTACTTGTATATATATAGACTAATAGTCTAGGCGTAAACCAGACCAATAAATATGCACCTGCAAGCGAGTGAACTTCGTTCTGCTTGTTGTATGCTATTTCAGAGTATCTCCGACAATTAGCCACTGCTATCCATGTTTTTGAACGTCCCCCCTCCGTTGAGGAGAACGTCCATTCGGGTCAACACTCAATTCCTGATTTGGGTCGAAGGAGATGTCGACGTTAGATTCCTTATACTTGGTATGAAACAGGTTCTTGTCATCGTGGGCTGTCGCATCCTGATTTGCTACTCCGCATTCTCTGTTTATTGCCTTGGCTGAAGAGAATACAACCGAGGAGTGCGGTGTAGCGAACACTGATTGGGGAAGTAATTGAACGGAAAGTTTCAGTTTTGTGTGCCAAACACTGATTGTGTGGGATCATGAAACACCCAAAAATGTGGTATGGCGAGCACCGGCACATACGGGAGTCAATGACCCGAAACATTGGTGTGGCGAACACTGATTGGGGGACGTCGCCCTCCTGGAGCTCCTGACTCCTGCCTCGTGGAGCACCCATGCCCCAACGACCCCGGCTTCATCCGCGCTGGGTACGACCCCAACGGAAGCTTAGCTCATACCATATGATGTCAGCACTAGCGGAGGATTGATAATGTTGCTTCTCGACACACTCCCGCAGCTACCGGGGTATCGGCCGCTCCTGGAATGTTAATGCTTCTCCTGCTTTGGCTATCCATGACTGAGCTGTGTGTCTGTATTGCTGTCTTAGTGTCTTGTTGCTCGTGTGACGTTTGAGCCTCGTTTTTTCTGAACGTGATTTTTTCCTGAACTGCGGGTCCGTTCTGGAGGTTATTGTTGTTGTTGTTGTCCTCACATTTTTTTTTGTTCCCATCTTTCTGTCCTACGTCCAAAAACTCAAGCGAAAGACTCCAAGGGTGTGTTTTGTACAGTACAGTACTTTAATTCCAGTATTGAAGTCCGTACTACAGCAGCCAGTACAGCAGTACAGTACTGAGGGCCGTGTTGTCATTATAGTACATTCCGACACCGGTCGCCCCGGTGGTCCAGTGGGTAACCTCACAGCCTGCTAAGGGCCAGGTCATGGGTTCGAGTCCCGGCAGAGTGAGTGTTTTTCTCACTAAATAAATCCTGGTCTAGGATGAAAGCGACGCGCTGCAAAGCTCGTTGTTAGTAAACCATAATCGACTTCGAAAGCCGCGAGGGAAGGGATTGCTCTACCCTTCTCGCGATAAAAATACCTCAGGCAGGAACCGCAGGAGGGGATCCAGCCCTCGCCTCCTATGTGACCCCGGTTGGGTTGTCTAGCTTGTAGAAGTGGAGGATAGGGGCCAGAGTGGCAGACGACAAAGTCCAATGATGGGAGAAAAATAAAAATAAAACTGTATCGGGAGCTGTACTAAAAGTACTGAAACTTTGATTCCAGTATCGAGAGCTGTACTAAAACAGCCAGTACATTCCGTATCAAGAGCCGTACTAAGGGTGCAGTTTATTCCAGTACCGCGAGCTGTACTAAAAGTACTGAAACTTTGATTCCAGTATCGAGAGCTGTACTAAAACAGCCAGTACATTCCGTATCAAGAGCCGTACTAAGGGTGCAGTTTATTCCAGTACCGCGAGCTGTACTAAAAGTACTGAAGCTTTTATTCCAGTATCGAAAGCTGTACTAAAAGTACTGAAACTTTGATTCCAGTATCGAGAGCTGTACTAAAACAGCCAGTACATTCCGTATCAAGAGCCGTACTAAGGGTGCAGTTTATTCCAGTACCGCGAGCTGTACTAAAAGTACTGAAGCTTTTATTCCAGTATCGAAAGCTGTACTAAAAGTACTGAAACTTGTTATTCCTGTATCGAGAGCTGTACTAAAACAGCCAGTACATTACATTATGCCTCGCAGGTACTGAATACTGTGCAGTACCACTAGTATCAAGCGCTGTACTGAAGCGTTCAGTGTTGCGCAGTATTGCACCAGTACAGGATGGAGAGCAGACCTCCACCAGAGCTCGTACTGAGCGTACTGATAGGTTGAGCGGAGTATCGAGAGCCGAACTATTTTAGTAGTGACAATATATACTACAGGCAGTAGTAGGGTTAAGAGACTGCTGTCTTGGACAGTAGGGATAGCACAGATGCACAGATGCATATGCATGCCGTACCGACGGCGAACCTCCTCCACCCACAGAACCCGCCTCCACGTCTCCTCGCTTCTCCTCTTGGGTTAGGTCTTCTAGTGTTGATGCACCCGCGGCGGCATCACTCGCCGCTTCTGCGGCGGAACTACCTGCGGCGTCACCCATCGCTACCTTGTGCTGGCTGCGGGCCACTGCTCGAGTACCAGTAGTCAAGTTCCGCAGTACACTGGACACGGCAGTACGACGTAGTCGTGTACTTGCAGCAGGAGTGGGACTGTAGGACTAGACCAATTGGACGAGGCTGTGCCGCATTTGTGCCAGAAGATGACGTCACCAACACGCCCTTCGGTGGATTTCGGGTAGATACCTGGTAGATACGGGCAGTCGTACGACCCCTACCGTCTAGTATCGACACCCGTACTAAAGCGTGCAGTACGTTTGTTCCAGTATTGAAGTCCGTACAAAAGCAGCCAGTACAGTACAGTATCGAAAGCTGTACTAGAAGTACTGAAACTTTTATTCCAGTATCGAGAGCTGTACTAAAACAGCCAGTACATTCCAGTATCGAGAGCTGTACTAAGACAGCCAGTACATTCCAGTATCAAAAGCCATACTAAGCGTGCAGTTTATTCCAGTATCTAGAGCTGTACTAAAACAGCCAGTATATTCCAGTGTGCCTCGCAGGTACTGAATACTGTGCAGTACCGCCAGTATTATGTTGTTGTTGTTGACTTCACATTAAACCGTATGCCAGTTGCTAAATGCCAAAATCTAGCAAAGACTCTCAGCCCGTGGTCACGAAAGTGCTAGAGCCATCTGAGGATCTAAAGAACACGCACACGTAGCAAGAAAAAGGTGTACAAGAGCCCGAAGAGGTACTACTA